ACAAAGGTACATGTTGAAAACTGAGCTCAAGATTTGCTAGTGGGCCTACAGCAATAATCCCATCCTCAATATAGTGGTGTGACTGCGTATACCTGATACCAGTTCGAGAAATATACAAAGAGCTCATGTGCTTATAAAGCATTCTTTATTTCCTACTGTGTGCCTGGGAGGAAGGGATCTAGAGTTCAACCTGTTCCCTGACATGACTGTCTTCATTGGGGGGAGATTTATCTGTGAAAAGGCGAGCAATATTATATTTTCTACAGAAGACTAGCAAGAAGCTCATAGCCATAACATCAGAAATCAACTCAAATCGTTAATAGAAACCAACAAGACGATCCAGAGAAGCTTTGGAATTCAAGTGATATTTTGCTCCCGCTATAAAAAGGGGAGACAAATCCAGATCTGCTTCCTATTTTGCACCATGTAGTATCTCAGCGGACAAAGTATCCACTAAAAGGGCCCCAAATTAGCGTTTCATGACTGGTAGGGCCCCAAATCCTTTGGGCATCAGTGCTGGTTTTAGAAGAGATGGGCAAGAAGTTGGCCCTCCAGGGAATATAAAGGGCAAATATATATATATATATCTGAAGTTAGTATCACAGAACGTATTAAAGGCCAGTATGGGAATGCAATGGGGCAGGTCTGGACAGGAAATGCTTCATCACTGCCACCACAAGAGGAAGGGTGTAAGTAGGGTGTTAATTATTGAAGAAGTGAAGGGAACTGTTCCTCTCTAGAAACTAGACCAATTATATTTACACGGGGGAAGAGGAGAGAGAAACAGACGTCCTCACACAAATAGCCATGATTTGAAACAAAGACACACAAAAAAAACACCCCCCCGTTCACACAAAAATATAACTTTGAAATAATTAATAGCACCAGTGTGTGTCAGATAATAAAATTTCTTCCCCTCTACGCAAACGTACACAGTTGCATAGTGTTGAAGGCTTGGTACACACAGTTCTGAGAAGGCGGGGATGGGATGGAGTGGGTGGAAGCATCAAACCACACTTAAGGAGGAAACAACGGAGGCCGACACAATTTCCTCTCGTTTTTAAGATGACGTATGAGAGGTTATGGAGAGAACCACCTTCCACCTACAAAGCTTTCCCAAAGTGAAAAGGGGGCAAAACTTCTAAACAGGACAGACATTCACGCTGAGTTGCAAGTAACTCAGCTAGTCAATACTGCAATTTCTAAACATTTGTCCCTAGAATGAAGCCGGGCCGTTTTTCTCGTTTTGCCAGGGGGAAAAAAAGAAGGAGCCTAAACTTTATTGGGATTCGGTACTTTCGGGCAAAAGACATGCTCTTCATGGCAAAATCATCTCTTGAGAGAAGAACTGCCAAAATCCTTTGGGTTTGTTTTGACCAGATAAAAAGTTATAACAACTTCATATTTCGGAGGGGGAACATAGCAGGTGAAAGTTCTTTCTGAATAAAATTGCTTCCCCCAAACGCAAATAGAAAATGTTAAAATCTCTTTTTTGTTTTTAAGAAAGAGAGAGAGAGAGAGAAAAAAAATCTGTCCATCTTAATTCAGGGACAGGAACAATTTTTTTCCCCCCAATTAAAACTGAAGCACCTGACTTTATCCTTACAGGCCCAAATGCATGCCAAGCTTTTAGCACCATGGAAAACTAAATATACCACTCCTTCCTCCTGACTCTTTAAAAAGCATTTCTGAGAACTGTCTCAGAAACGAGATACACATATACACATATTGCACACTAGAAAGGTTAAAAGCTGGCAGCTGGCTACCAAAGAGGGTTGAGTGGCTACTAGTTTTAAGAATAAGCCCTTTCTCCCTTCTTTGGGGAGAATGCAGATTCTGAAACCCACCTGCACCGTCTCGGAATGGGTGGTTATCCTGGCCATTGCTATTTAATACTTTGGTAGCCAAACCATTTCCTTCATAGATCAACAGCGATTTGCAGGAGGGCAGGAGATAACAGGAATGGAAAAAAGGGAATGGAGAAAAAAAAAAGAGAGAGAGCCTGTGTTTGTGCCCTCCCTTACTTCAGTTCTCGGTACAAAGTCCATCGTGCTGTAAATTAAAATTTCTGAGAAAAAAAGAATGTAGAGTGTTTGAGCAAAGTAGCGTATAGAGTGTATGTCTTTGATAACTTTCTGATGGCCCCCAAGGCTGGTGATTAAATTGCTTTTAGTTCATATAAACTTGCATTTTCCCCCTCCCAAACCCCCAAAGTAGGAAAGAATGAACAACCGAACTGTGTGGGGAGATGAGGCCAAGGTCCTGAAGAACATCATCTAGGAAGTAAGGCACCCCACAGCCAAAACTGTTTCACCAGTCATTGAGGGAATGCCCCCCACCCCCACCCCCTGCCCTTGGGACACCCTTAGGGTTTTTCAATGGATGGGGTATTGAAACAGCCACTTGGCAAGGTCTTCTTGATGTCCTCTAGATTGCTAATGTCTTTCAAAATGGTGTTGATGTCCCTGTTGTATTCATTGATGGCACTAGCTTGCTTTTCAGCTGCTTTCTCTAGTTCAGATACTTTCCGGTCTAGATCGCTATCCTTCATCTGATTTTTGGCAGCATTTAAAGTATCTTCAATGGTGCTAAGTTGGCTCTGGTCCACAGCTTCCACTCGTGCTACAGAGAGAGAAAAGTAAAAAAAAGTTAGGAAGCCCCCATCAATCTATTACAAAAAGTTATTTCTGACTACCAGATTGGAGAAAAAAAGACTGAATCTCTAATGACTGTATAACATTGAATGCCCTTTTGCTAAGCTTGTTGTTGTTATTGTTGTTGTTGTGTTTTTTAGAACAAACAATTAAGATCAATTAGATTGCTAGATTGTTCTGTGAAGAGTTGCTATGTAAACAAAAGCAAATGAAAGTTCTCCTCGGCTCATAAAAAAGTTTTGTGTTTTCTGGATTCTGGCCAGAGAAAACTCAATGAGATTGAAAGCTGGAGGGGGAGTGGTGTGAGGACTGGACTATCAACATATGAGTAAGAGGACATCGACAAGTAATGTTTGATTTACATGCCAATCAGTGGTGGGATTAAAATAATTTAACAACCGGTTCTCTGCCCTAATGACCAGCAGGGTAGGCGGAGCTCGGTGGTCATGTGACTGGGTGGGCGTGGCCAACTCAA